ACACACACACACACACACACACACACACACACACACACACACACACAAACAGCCCTCCCTGAGCTCTGCTGAGGGGTGAGGAAAAAGCATGGGGGTAAACATTAATACCATCCATCACTGGTAGGTACATTTAGAGAGAGGCCTTTGGGGTTGGGACTTTCAGCAACCCCTCCGGGAATGGTTTAGTCCATTTCTCAATGCAGAGCTGGCCCTTTCCACTTTCCCCCATTTCCTCTGCCACAGGGGGAAATATTTCACCTGTCTTTTTTCTCTCTTTCCCTCTCATCCTTTTCTCTCCAGCCGCCCCAAATCTTCTGTGCAGCAGAGAGAAAAAAACCCACATATCTCTCTCTCAGCACCTGTCCAGCTTCATCCCTCTCCTCCTCCTCCTCCTCCTCCTCCCCTGGCCCACGAATCATCCCTCGCTCTAGGAAGGAAAGCAGTTCATCTGCTCCGCCCCCTCCCCTCCTCCCTAATGCCATCATTTACTGTTGCAGTCCCATGGTAGATGTGAGGGAGAGCAAGGTAGCGGCACATATCAGTTTCACCCCACCAGCTTCCTTTAAAAGGCATCATTCTTTTGGGGCCAAGCTGAGATAATCCACTGCATGTGCCAGCGTACTCTGTCAACACAAGCTGGTGTACAAACAGCCATGCAGACAGCCAACATGTACATATGTAAGTTTATTAAGAAATGCAGTACTTCCTATGCGAGTACAGTAGGCGGGCGTTGAGTCACCCCTGCAGCATGCAGGCGAGCTTCTGCTACGACCTGCCTGCCATGTGGCTAACGAGCTCAGATTAATTACCTGGACTGAATCCCTGCCATACTCTGAGCAAGATGTGGCGTCTGGCATGACACGGGAGACTGATACACTGACAGACTGAGTTCACAGCTGCTCTTGCACCTCAGGACACCTCGCGGAGAAATAAGCCAGGGTAGAGCTGGGACGACCTAAATGCTTAGTGACTTCTAAGAAGTCTTACTTATCGTAGCTTATCAGAGTTTGGGGGCGAGAGCAGCTGCTCTTTTGCGCTTTCTTAGATTCACAGTTTAGGAATCAAACACATACAAAGTACACTGAGCTTCTATCCAGTTCAATGATAAATGCCGTACAGTAAAAGTTTTAAAGGGTCTA